TGCTACGGCCTCCTGGGTTCACCTAGAGCTCGTCTACGAGCTCGAACATGATGGCGCTAAGCAGAACGACGACGGCGAAGAGGTGCGGCGGCGGCGAGCCTCGGCCATGGCGGGGGATGGGGCTAGAGCATGCGAACGCGGGGGGAGAAGAGGGGTTCGGGGCAGGGGTTCACAACGAGTCCAATGAGCGCGAGAGCGAGGGAGGGAACGCGTTGTCGACGATGAATCGACCACGGTGATCGTCGGACAGATGCGGCGATGAAGGCGGCGGGGACGACGCTGCGGTGCACCCGGCGTCATGTGGGTTGGTGGAGACGAAGAGGAAGGTGCGGCGGTTCTTCTAGAAGCATCGACGAGGCGAGGGGTGGACGATGGCCGCGGTGGTGCTCGTCGGCGCTCTCGGGTGCTCGTGGTCGATCGCGGGAGAGAGAGAGCAGAGGAGGAGGATGGGGGTCCAGAGCGAGAGGGGGGTCAGGGGGGTGTCGTGGCACTCGAAGCCGTCCCCAGCAACAGCGGCAACTAGGAGCTGGCCGAGCGCGTGCGCGCGCGCCGCGGCCACACGCCCTCCTGCCTACTGGCAGGAGGTTAGGGGTGACTGGTGCCTGGGCCTCGTGGGCTGGCTGTCCACTGGGCCGACCAGGTAAGTCCAGGTAAGCCTTTCCTTTTTTTGTTTTTCTATTTTTGCTATTCTGTTTAGATTTAGTTCAGAGACCAAACCATTTTTTAGATTCTGGAAATTATCATTTGGCTAATATAATATATTCAGAGCCACTCACCATTTTCCAGAATTATTGGATCATATTAAATATATAGTAAATATAAATCCAGTGCAAATAATTATTGGTTTAACTCAAATGGCCAAAAATAAATATTTCTGTCTCCTAAAAATATTGGTTTGAATTTTACCTCTTACCAATATTTTCACAGTGTAACAGAAACATTTCCTTGACATTTGATGAGAATTAAATGTTGATTATTTTTAGAGGTCTTCTGAGGCTTTTGAAAATTTCTCAATTCAAATTTCATTTGAATTTAAATATGATGCTCACATGAAAGGCTAGCCTAGTGCATACCAGAACTAGGGATGTGACAATCTGCGTGAGAGAGTATAGAGTGTGTCGATCGAGGTCCGAATAGGGAGATATATCATTTGTTGTGTGAAAGAAAACGAGGTTAAACGAGACTCAGATAAACAGAGCGAGATTGAGCGAGTGTGGCCCGCCGTGCGTAAGAAAGAGTGAGACAGTCTCGAGGGAGTGGCCTAAATAGACAACGTGTGTGCGTGCGCACGAGAGGTTGCGGGGCTAGATAGGTAATGCATGTATTTAGCGCGAGAGGGTGAGAGGGAGAGGGGGGGAGAGAGAGCTCGGCATGGGGTGCAATGGCGGGTGTGTGAGGTAAATACATTTCGTAACAGAGTGGAAAAAGGGGGTTGTGTAGTTGAGAGAGTTAGAGATCGAAACATGAAGAGAAAGAACGGATGTGTGTTGGAAACCGATAGCTTCCTAAGGTGGATAGGAGAGGAAGATTGACCGATACAGGAAGTATGTAGTGTGTGTGTGGGGTGGGGGGCTAAAAACAACATTTGAATCTCTACTCCTAATAGAGCAGTTGGTAGTCTCGCTTTCAGGTTTTTTTAGTCCCACCTCTCCTGGTTTTTTTGGTAGCTCCTCGACTTATCCACCAGAAATCAAAAAAACCTCCTCCTTAGGCCCCAATCCGCACCCATCCACCTACCAAAAAAATAGACCTAGGAACCAACGAAAAAAGACCTACGAAGGTTAACCAGCGACAAAAAAACCTAAACCTATCGCCCGCTCCCTCGCGCCCCTGTTGCTCCCTCCTCGGTCCCGATCTGGATCGAGGCTCGAGGGGACGAGGAGCTCCTGCCTCCCCGTCGGCCGGCCTCCTCCTCGCCCCGCCGCTGCGTCCGGCGCCGCCACGGCCTCTGGAGCCAGGGAAGCCATGGCCTGAGCTTGGCCTCGAGGTCCCCGCCGCCGTCTCCTGCAGCTTCTGCCCCGCCGCCTCACCGCCCGAGCTTGCTGTCGCACCAACCTCGTGTCGAGCATCCTACCCATTGGCAGACAGAGATCATCGATGGTTCCGTGTGGCCTTAACCCTGCACCCATGCCCGCAATTCTTCTACCTCCTCTCAGGTATATGTTGCGCCTCCTTTCCTTTATTTTTTCTCTTCTGTGGTACTTCCGGCGGCTGATGGTATGTGTGTCGGTAGCTGCACAAGGATGGGGATTGCGAGTTAGGATGTAATTTTCCTGTTAAAGTGACACTCCATGGTATGTTTGCTTTGAGAAATTTCTTCCTATTTTTCTTTTTCTACAATGTAGAGCACAGTTTAGACATGTTTCCTTTCTTAAATCCACCTATTCCTGAAACTTTATATTGATATGGTCTTGGTGGTCTCTGGTTTTTGTAATTAATCCGAAGGTCTACCTTTCTGGTTTTAATTACTTATGTGTGTATAGATGCCCATCTTTCCACAACGTGTTGTTCTTGCAGGAATTCCTGTTATATCAATGAAAATCTTACAAGGTAAAATGATGGACCTGAATGGTTCAGACAGACATATACTGCATCAATGGAAACAAGGGATGTTCTGTCAATCTGATCTTAGTTCTACAGACCTCAGAGTTCTACAGCGACGCAGACTAGCAGCGACACCTCTCTCTATTGTGCTTCTATCTGTTCTGTGGATCAATTCAGAGTGTTGATCGTTATGGGTCGATAAAAAAATGTTCAGAATCTGATGCGTGGCAATCAGATGGTCAAAAAAGTGACGGTGTGTGACGATCGGACGACCGGATGATCGGACGTCTTCTTCTTCAAGCTCCCAGCATGCCGTACTCTCCATCTATTGTCTCTTTCGCACGGCGGGGCAGAGGGAGTTGATCGAGGACCGCAGCGTCGGCCACCCAGGTATCTTCTTCTCCACTATCTCGATCATGCACCCTTTGTCTAATCTGCAATGACTCATGACATTGACAGGTACAAGCGCGTGGCGGCGACTGCGATGCACATCAGCCTACTGTTCTTCTACCGGTACACAGCGGCCATGTGCCACCGCCGAGCCCTTCATTGGCGTCCTCCTGGGACACCTCCATGTAGCACCAAGGTTAAAAAAACACCCTGTTGTTGGTCCCTTTCAATTGAAATATTCATTTTACATGCTCCGGTCATAAGTTTGTGATCTGCAAGGTTTATATGAAAAAGGATTTCCAATTATGATAAGTTGTATCTTATTGATCCCAACTGTTAGACCATGTGAGCTCACTGATTTTGCCGTCTGAATATCTGTAGAGTGAAACAAACGTAGCAGTCGTATGTCATCTGCTTGCTGAGTTGCATCATTAGCCTGAGCAGATAGCCATCTTGCATATTGTTTGCCCCAATAATATTTCTCATTTTTTCTGATGCATCTTTTTCCCCCATTGGAGTTATGGTTATCTTCTTACATGGTTTACATGTCAATTTTGTAAACAAGGAACTGGTCATAATCAGCAATCCTGATTAGCTTATGCTCATTGCCTTGTATCAATTTTGAGTCTTAGTTTGTTCACCATCATCAATAAGCGGGACCTTTCATTTCTTCACAAATGGGCCAACCCACCAAATCGTTCAACTCATCAACTCACAAAATGCATGACCATCAAGCAAGCTAGCACAAGCTATTTAACTAAAGAAAAGTCACTTTGTAATGTGACTACAAATTAGATTACAGAGGGAAGTTTGCAAATCACTAGCTCTGAAAGCATAAAATATATTTCAATTTCTAGGCTGCTACATTATTTTGAAACATGAGCTTTTTTAAAACTGAGTGTTTGACGTAGCTTGCTGTTATTGTCAAACTGAAATAGCTGAGTATATATATGTTGCTTTTTGTTTAGGAAAGTGAAAAAAACAAGATGCCATTTGTATGCCAGGAATGGCATATGTGAACGACTCGGGTGGTAGTTTTTAGGGTGTGGCAAGGGGCATTTTTTATAAACTGCCATGGCAGTTCTTTAATTTAGTTCTATTTTTTGAGAAACAGCCATCCACAGGTTATTGATTGTGTGGTTCTGTGTGTGTTCACTGGGACCTCGTCACCAGCGAACGTTCGCCGGGTATTGTTCAACATGGCTCTTGATAATTTAATGATTCAATCAAATTTCATTGCAAAGTACACTGGACCAGGCTTTCCTTCTTTCTAATGCAGTGTTAGTTGGCATTAAGTTGTGAAATCCAAATCCATACATTTACAGTTCCTTGTTGTTCTAATTACACAAGTATTTTCACATATTTTTTTGTTAACTAATCTTCACACCGAACACCATCTCAGTAACTAGACCTGATATAGTAGTTAGTTTTGGCATTAGACACAACAACTTTGACATCGATAATTTCCTCATATATTTAGAGGACAATAAACTTGTCTAGCATTTCATTATGAGTTGCAGACTCTGAAAACAAATGTATGTGCCCCCTAAATGATTAAACATGTGGTTTCTGAATTATGCATGCTGACATGCATTGGCAATCATTATTCAACAGTATTCCTTTTCACTGAAATAGTAACCATGTAATGCTTACGATTTAATCTGGTTATCTAGACAACTAAATGGGTTAATGTTATGTTTAATTAGTATCTTTTGGCATATGTAATGCGTGGAAGGAAACCAGTGTCTTTTGATTAGGGATTTCTGGAGGTAACATGCCTCTGACTGTATGCACTGAATTTCAGATGCTCTGTTTAGAAGATGTTTTCTTCAGTAGTACTACATATTTTTATGATTTCCTGTAACTTGCTGATATGGCACCGATTTGCCGCATGGTGTGCTACAACTACCCTCCAGGGGAATATTTGTTCAGAATCTTCAGTCTTGTAATTTTCTCCTTGATGACAATGACCATGCTGTACTGGGGGATATGGGATTCCATCCTTGCTGTTTGGACTTCCGCTGCCAAATCCAGATCTTATCCAAAGACTTGAGACTCCAAATTACATGCCCCAGAACATTGGCGACCAAACATCAGAGGCCCAATTAGTTACGAGACTGACTCATTGGGGTTTCGCTCGCAGCATTCTTGAGATGTTCAGTGGCGTTCAGACTTGGTGTGCCAAATCACCAGATGAGATTTATCAGTCAGTTGTCCTGAAGAAAGAGAAACCGATGTTCCTATACAATTTACCTATGGAGGTCGCTAATGTCCTCTCTGGCTGCTATGAGTATGACTTTCGGGATCACTCCTTGATGTTAGATATCTTACAGTCATTTGAAAGGTAACATGCTAAAACTCCGTTTCTGCTTCTGCCTTGTTAACTTACAGAATTTGGTTAAACTGCCATGGATGGGTGATTTTACCATATTTCATTTTCATATTTGCTTATATTATATTGTACAAACTATATATGGTCAATGCACGTTTATTTTCCTCCAGAGTTTACTTTTACTATGTCCTGGTACATTAGCTTTGTGTATTCAATTTTTTTTATTCCTGACAAGACGTGCATTGCACATGCACACTTATATGAATCAAGCCTTACATGATTTGCTCTTTTACTGATGGACTGAGGAGGTCAGAGATGTATAACAGCCGTATTGATCCAAATGACAAGTACGGCAGTGCTAACCTGCTTACCTAGAATTTTACCACATCCTAAGACTTGCAAATCTGTATAATAGGAATGGCTAGCTATTTTCTGGTCTACAACCGTGACATGTGGTGGCATCTCTCACCATCTGTGCACATAGTGTTTAGGCATGATTCTTGCATACTGTCGAGACTCGAGAAGGGCGCGACATTTTTTCCTGAACTGATTTTTTTTTTTTTGCTTACCGGTTGAGCTCGGTTTCAACTCTTACCTGAGTAGTTGATAGGCAAGCCTGATGCAGGTGTATGGAAATTATGCAATTGCATTAGGTTTGGAGTTGTCCAGTATACTACTGAGGCCTACATATTTTGCTGATGCAGGTTGGAGGTGACACATGAACGCTGGCAATGCAAAATAGCAGATATAAAATAACTGCAGCTCAGGCCTTGTAGTTCTACAACAACCAAGGAAGAAGTCTGTTTTTTAAGCCGACCTCGGCCAAGCAATTTAAGCTTATATGGGTGCTCTCTATTTTTCAGAGGTGCGTGTACTGAGAACGCCTATGATTTAGGGCCAAAAATCTAGACAAAGTGACAAAACTTTGTACGAGACTTACTTGAAGCCAGTGATAGCCCGTTGAAGGATGCCGATTGTGGCTATCCAACTACAACAACGTGCTTGCAACTCATGAGTGGCAAAGTATAACATGCCGCCTTTATTAAAGAAGCCCCTTCAATTTATGTATGCAGAATGCTGTAAAGAACTCATGACAAAGCCAGATCTGTATGCATGTCTTAATGTATTTTCATACTGGCTCGAGTAATGTACTCTTGCCCGCCCCACGACACCGCCTTTGTAGTGTATTCTTGGTCGCGTGTTGCTCAATTAGGTTATTCTATTTTCTTTTTCTTTTTTATTCACAATTGTTGGCATGAATTTGCCGTGCATTTGGTCCTATCAACAATTTAAACCTGTCAATCGAGAAAGGATATGCACATCATCAGTGCACTTCTATTTATTTTGATTATAAATGAGTAGTTAATTTGCTAATTAAAGATGTTTTCCTGTGGGTATATTCATCTCATTAGAAGGTTCTTTTATGTGGCTTTGGTCTTTCTAAATATTGTGTGGGTTTTTTCCTTTCCTGGTTTAGCTTTGTGAAACAATGATTATTCTAGCGCGTGATCTACTCATGCCTATTTACCTTATTGTATAGTTTGTCATTCTAGAACACTAGACCTTTCTCCACAGCTGATATGTTGATATGACAAGTTTAATTTGCCTTTAGTCTTTGCAGAACTAATTTTGCATCCTAGGAAGGGGGCAAAATGGTCTTGACCACCGGCAGACTCTTCTAACATCTCACCGTCACTCCCACGGGTAGCGTTGTAATCGAGTCCAGCAATTCAACTTTTGAAAATAACATGTAGGCCGAACCAAGAGGGAATAGTACAGTACTTCATTTCACTCAGGAGAGCTTCGGTTATATGAAAATTAATTAATTTTAATATGAATTTCGATATTCAATACCCACATGAATTGTATAAGTTGCTTTGCTCGAGATGTGCATTGGACTGTAGTTTCAGGGAGCTCCGTCGCTTTCTTATAGAATTTTGTTCAGATATAAACAAATAAACCTAGATATAGACATGCATCTCAATCTCTTGTTTTAAAGTTAAACTGTTTGTAGATACTTTTTGATGTACCTTTCGAACCCATAAACTCAATGTTGTGCTTGTAGTGTTGGTTCTGGGTTTAGAATCAATTTAATATGTGGATTGATATCCCACCAACCACAAAACGGAATTTCTTCTTTGATATTCTGCTGGTTTTCTGGTTGAGGATTTCCAACAAGAGTGAATGTATAATCCAGCCAACCAACCCAAGATGTTTACCAGCACCATCACGATGATCTTTCTCAGCCTGCTCGACCCAATCAGTCTTCTAATATTCATCTCATGGTAGGCATGCTCTGCAAAAATGCAGCAACATCATTTTTTTGTCACGTATGTTAAACTTGTGCTATGAACTGTTAGCATATTGTCTCTCCTTTGCTTCAACTTTACATAGGATATTCACTCCAAGGAGAGGAAAATCACATACAATTTTCCACATTTACCCTTCTGAATTAATTGCCTAACTGTTTAATGATTTTTTAGGAGGGTCAAGAAAAAGACGTAAAACCATAGCTTGCTTCTTGGTTCCAGTTTCTGCAGCCACCATTGATAAGCATGGGGCTGAGCAAATGAGTATCAAAGGCAAGTCAAGGAAACTTCGTCCTCTAGGCTGGTTGCGATTTAGTTCTCCAGCAGCTTCAATGCCAAGGTAAAACTTCATCTATTTCGCAAACTGGGATAACACCCACTATTTTCACTTATTTTGAATTGATAGATCCTATAATAGCATGGATAATTGTGATGATGCCATAGTTTCCTAATTACTATGATAATTTACCAGATGAGGAGGTGGGAGAGGTGCCGCCCAAGGAGGCCAGGGGAGGAGGGCAACAAGGCTGGGGAGCGGAGGCGGAGGCTGACGAGGAAGAGAATGATCAAGCATGTAAATCTAGAGCACAAGCTCATGATTTATCAAGGGAGTGGCGCTGCCGCCGGAGTAGAAAATCATATCTCACATTAAGGTGTTTTTGTCTTTTGTTTTTGTACAAATTTGGTGCAGGCAAAATTTTGATGATACATATAAGATGACTAGCATTATCTTTTTATTGAGTGCATGTTTGGGTAGCATTATCTTTTTATTGAGTGCATGTTCGGGTAGCATTATCTACTTAGAAAAAATTGCTATATGCGTGTAGTGAATAACATCTGTAGGCGGTTTCCCACCTTGTCCCTTACTAATTGTCATGCTGGTGTCAAAAACTGGCTCACTTAGAACGCGAGTCAGTGGACTTTGTGATCAAAGTGAGGGTTGAGAGTCAGCGCGGGTGGGGCATGGGATTTGCAACAGGAGCAACACAGGAGTAGTAGATAGTACTATATGGATTATGGTCACTTCTGTGAGTACTCTCAACAATGCTAGAAGCACTACACCATGATTACAACAACACATTTATTATGATATAAAGTAATATTAAAATGTAGCTGACCAATGTAGGCTCAGGAAGAAGTTTTTATTATACTTGCTTAAATATCGTGCGAATGAAACTAAAAACACCATTTCTAATATTGTGCGAGAATTGCGTAAACACAACAACAAGGAACAGTAGATATTAATTTGTAATAGGATTTTAATTAGATCATCGCTCTATATGTATACATTGTTAATTTATCTCTTTTATCAATTTACATTTCAAGTGAATTGGACTTCAACAAATACCCCGACTGTGCTCGTGCTATCTTGTCTCTGCATGTAAAATTTGACATGCATTGTGTTTACATAATTTTAGCAAAATATTTTCGTAGCACGTGACAAAGCACCGACATTCCCGTGCTATCTTATCTCTACATGTGAAAATTTACATCCATTATGTTTATACAACCCAACAAAAATATTTCAAAAGCCCGTGGCAACGCGCGGGCGTTCTACTAGTGTAGATAGTATGAGACTTAATATCGATGTTTCAATTCGGTGTACATTGTAAGATTTAAGCTGAGGACCATGCATATGGGTAATTATTTCGAATTCGTGCCATACTAGGTTTCGAAAAGTTGACATTAACTCGATTTGTTGTGCTATTTTGTAGGTCATATGTTTGGATCCATCCAAAAGTTTTCTCACTACCATGGTGTTCATCATATACGTATGAATTTGTATTAAAAAAGTAGCATGGATACAGTGAAATGCGAAATCCACGTTAGAATTGGAGATCGCCATGTGACACACACTCTAATTCAAATAACTAATTATGTGACACACACTCTAATCCACGTTAGCGTGGATACCTAGGATACCGTTTGATTTTTTTTTTCAAATAACTCCTCATTAATTAATTTATAGTATCTCGTTTCGAATGACTAATTATTGCAAGGAAAACACAGGCATGGTAATACATATAGATTCGTTTGCAAATGAAAGAAGATTCATTTGCATTCTCAAATGTAGGCGCACCAGGTAGACGAGGGTCGTGTCGTGGTGGTCGCGTGTGTCGGACGGACTCTTAGCACCCAGCCACCCACCCCCCTCCCTCCCTCCCCCTCCCCCCCAAAAAGGATGACGATAATATAAGTTCGCGCTTCCACATTTCGGATTGAAATATCTGGCGGCCCCAATTCCAGCCCTGCAAAATCTCCCTCCTCCACCGTCCCCTTCCGCGCACAGATTGCTCAAATCCCTAATTCGCCGCCAACCCAAGCAAAGTTCGAATCGCCCCTCGTCTCTTCTCTTTCCCCACCTCTGTGCTGGACGACGACGACGAAGACGATGGTCACGCTTCACCACCGCACCGGAGCTACCTCATCTATGCCCTCGTCCATTGCACCGGGTGGTCCACCGACAATGTCGGCCGCCGCAACCGACGTGCCTCACAGACACCGACTTCCACCGCATCAGGTGTGCTTCACCGACGCCGTCTCCCAGCTCACCGGGGCTACTTCACCGAGCACATCGTCGCGCCTCCGCCCCCCGAGGCCATTGGGGCTTCACCAACGGTCTCGTCCATCACATCGTAGTGCTCCGCTGTCACTCAAGATCTGCATCCGTGCACGGCCAGCCAACGCCAGCGCATCACCCTCAACGGCTCTGAAGTGACCCACACTCTAGCTAGGCGAGCATGCCCAAACGCCGGCCCAAACTAGGTATCCACACATCACTCCCTTGTGCACTATTTCGACGACGTTTGGATATCCTTTCACTACTCTCTTAGCTTACAAGCCTATCCAACTCTTACTTTAACTCTTATTTCTTCTGGAGATATCATCTGAAACAAGCAAATCCATTTTTTAGCGAAGCATGATGGCGCTACGGGATCTGGTACACATCCTGCACACCCGTATAACCTTGTAAGCATCTGTCCTCTGGTACAACAGCAAGGTCGATTTCTCTTATTTGATTAGCCATTAGCCGTGTCAAAAATGCAGAGGGGGGTGCAAGGAGCACAAGGCCTGCACATCCAAGCAAGTGGTAATATGGACTTGTACGTGGAACATCCCAAGCGCAAGCAGAGCTGTAGTGAGCCTGTACAACGAGCTAGTGTAAGTCCCTGCATTTCATTTCATTCGTACTGGCATTCGTGTATGATTTGTGTGCAGTGGCGGATCCATGAATTCAAGTTACCAGGGGCGAACATTTAACTTAAAAAATACGAAGGCACTTGCACTCCGGAAATCAACATAACTTGAGAAATGTGAAGCTACACGCACTTTGAAAACCAGCTAATGATCCAAAGTAGTTCAGATTATAAACACTAAATGATGCAAGCACCAAAAAACACAAAATGCAACATGGTGCACAAGGACTACATACATGGTCTGTACCTA